TAAATTTTTCATTCAAAATAAAATTTTATTTTGAATGAAAAATTTATTTTAGAGAAAAATAATTTATAAATTTTGCTTCGTCTTTTTTAATTTTGAGGCTTTTCAGATGAAAAATCAATAAAACTTTTCAACTTCTTAGTTGTTATTTTTTCAATAATTCCCTTGAATCTAATTATGTATACACTGCCTATTTTTATAAGCAGCTTTTGATTATTTTGAAAACATTTTCTTTTTATCTGAAGGAATATTTGTATCATTAATTCTCGATTCTTCCTAAATATAATTTTTAAATTTTCAATATATATCAAATTGTACTAGAATTTATTTGATCACGCAATTTACTACTGCAATCATATAATTTACTGTTTTCTTGAGTGGTCGTGGTAGCCTACTGGTCAAGGTCAAGGTCCCGGACTAGTAGTTGGCATGTGATGATTTCGAGCCTAGTATGGTGTGAAGTGAGAATATATTTAAGGTTTATTACACGCCATATAAATAGTAAAAAGGAATGATAAAAAAGGTTAAACATATTTTTAATTTACAGCATTATAAAATATTATACGAATTACTAATTACTTAGGTTGAAACATGAAAATTGAATAAAGGGAAAAGCACGTCTTTCCTCGTGCGAGTCAGAGAGAGAAGTTAGCGCGAGAGTCTGTTCATATCAGTTCACTCTCTCTGCTCTCCAGTTGGTTCCAGTTAAGAGGAATAGGTGGGTGCCGAGGCACGCCACACCTAGTACCGCTGAAGATCCGCCGCGCAAAAAGGGTTGATGTACGTTAAATAAGTCAGGCTCAAACGCCCTCCCGTTGGTGTGGTGTGGGAGTTAGGAGAGGAGGGTGACAATTCAGAGGTCGTCCTCATCATTTGACCATGGTTCAAAATTACGAGGTTCGTCACCAATAGCCCTCGTGCGGTTTTGTAGTGCGACGTAAATGTAACTTTTTCGCTTTTGTTTCCTTGAATAATATTTTCTGTTATATATTTTTAACGATTTTTAGATATGTTTCATGTTTATAATAAGTTATTTAATATTTAATTCTTGGAATTGTTATCTCTGAATATTGTTTCAAGAGGCAGACAATGACAGAAAACGATACATCTTTCTCCTAACTACCACACCGCATTCACAATTCAGTCAAATTCGAATGAAATAATCTTTGCATTCGGTTTTTCAAAAATTTCTCTAGCTTTTTTTCTTTTTTTTCAAATTACTGCAAAAATATACGTTCGCGTGCTGCATGCTTTCTCAAATTTTATAATTAAAATTAATGCTATTGTAGTTTTTTTACTACTTTACTATTTTTAAAATTGTTTCTTTCATTTTTTTAGTTAATAAACTATCTATAATTTGAGAAAAATTAAATTTTTCTTAAATGTTTTGCTTACTTTGAAAGAGGCATAAAAATTTTAATTTGCAATAATTTAAAACACAATTGTGATATTGAAACTGTCAAATTTACTTTAATGTTGAAATTTTTACGTAGGAATAGTGCATAAATTTAAAAAAAGGATAAATCTTTTAAATTTTGATAGAACTGCAATTTTTTTTTAATGATAGGATTATATTTTAGTACAAATAAGAATACACATAAAATAAAATTATTCATTCGGAGCTGAACCGTAAAATGTTGCTTTTGGCGGAATGAAAACCGGAATTAAACCGAAATATATATATACCGTATATATATACGAAATATATATATAGTTGAACCGGAACAAAAAAAAATTAGGGTTCGAAGCCCTGTAGAAAAACTAGGATTACCATTATCTATCTGATTCTCATCTGAAGCATTCGAATTGAAATTTTTAGCATTGTTTTTTTTCGAAATAGCTTCTGATATTGATGACAATTCTGTAACCCTTTGGTAGAAGATCCAGACTTACTCTTTTACTAAGTCCCAATGACCAGTGCCGATTTAAGCTCATTTAGGGCCCCGGGTGCAAAAGATATCTTGGCACTGGAAAATCGAGATTTATAACCAGAAAATCTGTTTAAGTTGCGCTTATCCGGGCCCTTCCGAGCCCCTCTTGGCCCCGGGCCCCAAGCACTCAATGAATAAACCGGCACTGCCAATGTGGCCAAGACTTAACTCTCTCATCAAACTAACATATTGTAGTGTTTTGGCGTATAAACAATTATTGTTGAAAAGTTACTAGATGCACATCTCTTAAAACAAAACTATAATGATTAATTGCACTATGTGTGTGAATGTTGTTGTAATTTTTGAAGTTATACTTCTTTTGGGGCGTTAGAGAAATAGGATGAGGGTAAATTTTTACAATGCGCGCGCACACCGTCACGGATGCGAAAATCCTTTGTCTAGAAATATACAGAACGGGACAAATCATTACCGCCTTCGAAATTCTTAGAAAAATATTTCTCTTCACTTCCTTGAAGAATGGGACACCTGGATTCGAACCGGAGACCTCTCGATTTGTAGCCGAATGCTCTACCACTGAGCGACACTCCCGCGTCAGCGAACCTTTGTTTTGTGTTCCGTAGGAATGTATACGAAAATGCTTTGTCTAGAAATATACAGAACGAGACAGATCATTCCCGCCTTCGAATTTCTCAAAAATATATTTCTCTTCGCTTCGCTGAAGAAGGGAGCATCCGGGTTTGAACCGGGGACCTCTCGATCTGCAGTCGAATGCTATACCACTGAGCTATACCCCCGAGTCAGCGAAACTCTGCTTTGCGTTCCGTAGGAACGGATACGAAAATGCTTTGTCTAGAAATATAAAGAGAACGGGACAGATCATTCCCGCCTTCGAAATTCTCAAAATAAATAAATAAAAATATTTCTGTTCACTTCCCTGAAGAAAAGGACACCCGGGTTTCAACCGATGATCTCTCAATTAGCAGTCGAATACTCTACCACTGAGCTATACCCCCGCGTCAGCGAACCTTTGCTTTACGTTCCGTAGGAACGAATACGAAAATGCTTTGTCTAGAAATATGCAGAACGAACCAGATCTGAACGAGCCCATCTGATCATCCTACTCGACAAATTTTTTCCATGAGTTAAACGTGTTAAAGCAGCGTGATCTGTAATAACTTTAATAGGCATTGATCCTAAATATGTTCGGAATTTGTTCAGCGCCCATACTACTGCTAGACATTCTCTTTCGGTTACCGTATAATTCCTCTCCGCGTTGTTCAGAGTACGTGAAGCAAATATAACTGGTCTT